ATGGGTAGGAATGATACCTATGATACAGAATAAAAGATGTAGCTTACAACTGACGCCCTCCAGTCGCATTGAATAGATTTGGTTGTATCAGACATTTTATCTGATAATGTTAAACCCTTAAAAAGATTCGTCCGTTGCATTGCCGTCAGGCGTCCCCATTGGCATTCTGCTCTTCGCGCAACTTGCGCTCATCTCGACTCTCACTGGCCGGATCAAAGTAAGCTGATAGGCCCGGAACTGTCAGTTCATCTATATATCTGTAATAATTGATGTCTCATTCGGGTACTCACGCTTCTCACCGAAGACGGTTGTTCGAATTCCTCGTCTGTTCCCTTTATATCTTCCGGGGATCACTCGGTGAACGGTGCACCTATGACCAGTAGCATAAGCATCAATGAAAAACTGAATATACACACAAAAACTGTCTTGAAAACAGAGGGTCAAAGGGAAAAATCGACAACATAAGCATGCTTACCGATTATCCCACATTGCAGCACTACCAACAGCCCACTTCCAGCGCACGTAATGATCATCAGCGGCATGGATATGATGTGATAGGAAATCCAGAAGCTTGTCTAAAACAGCATATCGTATTAATATTGAATAACCGTAAAAACAACCGCCACTGTTCCTAGGCAAGAACCGGAATACTAACCTGACTCGAGCTTCTTGAGTTCGGCAAATCCAGTTACGAACCCGTTGTTCACGTTTAGGGCTTTCAGTCCGGTGACTGGGTGCGTTCGGACGGCGGGATGGTGGGTGTCGATGGGTGGTCTGTTTGGCCCGGCACCCCAGAGGTCTAGGATTGTGTCATCTGTTTGTCTTTTGTGTTAGGATGGTTTTTGCTTTTTGTATAAGGGTATTTGGGGGCCCCACAGACATTGGAGTCTGGAGGTGTGTACTGCGTGGAGGTCATCGAGGAATTTCTTGTATGCGTCGCTGAGGGCGTCGTATAGACCGTACTGGGAGACCTGTTGGCGTCCTGGGTTAGATGGGGTTGCTTGGCTTAGGTTGGAGGAGTGTAGTATACCCAGGCTGTGTCGCCTCCGACGTCTGGATGCTCTTCCATTCTCAGGAGGGAATATGATGGCGCTAGTTGACGAGGCAAGTAAATATCCAATATTCCACTTATTCAGTGTGCCAGACATACGGTTAATCTCAAACGAAGTATCTGCGTGGAATTCACCACTCGGCTGAGAGAAGTTACAGTTACGTTTTGAACAATTGGTGCAGATATATGGAACGGTGGTCCTACCCATGGGGTGTAGTTGGCAATCTCGCGATGATCCTCACGGCTGCCGTGGATATTCACGAACTATTTGATATCGTCAGTAGAGGAAGGGCGGCCATGTATCGAGGGCTATCTGACTTTCTGATCCTGTATAGTCGTTACCCCTAGTCGGAACGTCGCAATCCAGATACTATCTTCGCACTCACCTTCTGGGCAGGATGCTTATCGAGAATTCCTATGCGAACCACAAATCAGCATGGAGACCTTCCCTGTTGAAACAGTTGCGCTATGCTACTCACCATAATACTGAAATAAATCCACTTGCTTTTCCGTCGTCAAGTCCTGATCCCTGAAAAACACCACACCCCTCTCGGTCACCAAAAGAGCCAACTCATCGAGTTGCTGCTCGTTCAGCTGAGACAGTTGCACATTTTCGAGAAGGGTGCCGAGTGACTCAGTCAAGTCGACTGGCTTGGCTACAGAAAATAGAGCTTTCTTTTCAGGGTCGGCAAAAAATGCTCGGTCTTTTGGTGGATTGAAGGGTTCACGGATGGAGTCTGGAGGGACATGGTGTTTGATTTTGGGGTTGAAGTTGGGGTGGAGGGTGATTGGGAATCCTGAGTCGGGAGATATGTGCTTGCGCGCTTCTAGGTGGGCCATGCTTAGATAGGAAGTTGATGTACCTGCAGTGACAGTTTCGAGTATGGAGCACGAAAGGTTCCAGTGGGAGAATTTATATGTCTTGTTAGAATGGGTTTACTTCATCTGTGGCGGCAAAGACCGGATGGATGTCAGACAGATTCACTAAACGTGCTTTCAACAGCCAATCGCTTTATATCTTCCATTCGGTTTGTTATCATTCGAATATGGTAGCAATATCAACATGCAATGACACAATTGACAGATGCCACTAGTTGCATAGTCTGGATGGCGTCAATGCTGCCGACCATGACATGAGCCCTAACAACCATTGGTTGGTAGATGTAGCATTTCGGAACAGAAACGCGCTATGAAACGAATGTTGAGATCCCAAAGGTTGGTCCAATCCGACATTTATTTCCTGAATCGGAAAACCTTTTAGATAAACCTGAATAACTCAGGATCGATCGCAATGATACCATAAGACCTTGGGATCGCTCTATCATCCCCCCATTCAACCTCCGCAATTAGGGGGGTTTGGTGCCACTTATGTCGAGTCTGGGCTCTTGTTTTTATTAATATATAGTTGCGAAATACATCCTGGCATTCGGCTTCTCTTATGCGAAGCCCTAACTTACCTGACTTGGTTAAACCTGAAGAGTACTTCTAAGAAAGTATCGCAAGATGGGCGAACCAAAGGTGTTCGCCCATGATTCAACCCGAGAGTTGTCCGACGATGAGAATACTCGTCTCAGAGGTCATGCCGGACTATGGATCCAATTTCTGACATGGGCACGGTGGTATCCAAAAGAGATGGATCATTTAGAAAAGCGACTGGTCCTGAAATTGGATGTCCTGATCCTGACGTTCGGGTGTCTTTCTTTCTTCACGAAATACCTGGACCAGCAGGCCATTACAAATGCTTACGTATCGTAGGTTTAATATCAGTGCATGATCCTCAACCAATTTGACAGAGACTAACAGCCATCCACAGAGGAATGAAAGAAGATATTGGACTCGTTGGTAACGAGCTTAATTACATCACAGCCGCATTCTGGGCAGCATATTGTGCATCCATGATCCCTGCATGCTACTATCTGACCCGAAGCCGAATCAACATCATTTTACCTACGTTGGAAGCCGGTTGGGGTCTATTCACGTTTGGATGTGCCTGGGCGCAAAATCCGGGCACCATCTACGCGATGCGCGTTCTCATCGGCATTTGCGAATCATGCTCCTTTACTGGCGTGATCTATGTCATTGGGTCGTGGTATAAGCCCGAAGAAGTCGGTCGTCGGGTGTCTCTGTTCTTCATCGCATCGCCTTTGGGGACCATGTTCGCTGGTTATCTTCAGGCAGCGGCGTATACAAATCTGCATAATACGCATGGGTTAGCCGGGTGGAGGTATTCATCTATCACCACCCTGTACGAGCATAAATTGGACGACTAATAAGCAAGTTTGTATTTATACAGGTGGCTCTTCATCGTCTGCACCACCATCACAATACCCATATGTATCCTGTACGTCCAGACTCACCATCTCCGATACAGGGACAATACTAACTGGACGTAGGGGATATCTAGCATTCCTAGATGTCCCGCATCGTCCAAAACCCCGGTGTCTAACACATAAAGAACACGAACTTGCCAATTCCCGCCTCGTGGGCCTCACAACTCCCAGCCAACTAGAAGTCTCCCGCGACATATTTAAGCGCGTTCTTGGTCGCTGGCATTGGTACGTCTTCGTTGCGCAGTGGATCCTCGTTGACCAGAACTTTCTGGCTTCGTCCACGCCGTTCAGTTTGTACCTCAAAGCAAAGCCGGACATCTATTCTGTCAAGAGAATCAACACACTCCCGACAATTGCAACGGCTGTTTCTATTGTAGCAGCATTGACCGCAGGGACCGTGGCCGACAAGAAGAGGAATTTCTGGCTTCCTTCTATCATCACTACGATTCCAGTTCTCTTGGGCCTTGTTTTGCTTGTAGTTTGGAATGTAGGGGAGGCTGGACGACTAGCGGGCTTTATTCTTACCGGCGCTGAGGGTGGTAAGTAACAAGATCTCCCTTGCATAAACATATTCATCCTTCTATTTTCGTCCCACCATCACTGTGAGATTGCTCTGATGAAACCGATTATCTAGCAATGAGCCCCCTCACAATGAGCTGGCCAACCATAACGATGGCTAATGATGCCGAAGAGCGTGCAATCGTGACAGCCAGCATGAACGCTATCGGTCAAGCTATGTCCGCTTGGACGCAACTACTGCAGTACCCAGCAGTGGAAGCCCCGAACTTCAGGAGGGGTTTTATCTCGAATCTGGCAACAACCGTGGCGCAGTTGGCGGTGGTTGCGATTATGCTTGTGCTCACTCGTCGAGATGCTCAAAGGACGAGAGGATCAAATTTATCGGCAATATAGGTATGAGGATGGCGGGCGTCTTGTACAATGCTGGAACTACAATGAAGTTTTGGTTTTTTCTGTAAAGGCCTATTTCAGAGCCACTCGTGTTGGTTAGTATACCTGCCATAAGGTAGAATGTTATTTTATAGTTCCTATCTTGGATTATTGTGGAAAATCGCCACATTTCCTGTGTTCCAGCTCTTTGTTTTGAATCTGACAGTTCTAAAGATAAAATAACTATACGGCATACCTCTTATATAGTGGTTATGTTATCTTAAGTGATCGAGCATTAAACTTCAGCTACAGTACTATTTATATATACGTCGCTGAGCTTCAAGAGGTCACATTTACGTAGAATACGTAACCTATCAGTCGATTGAAAACAAATTCCGTATCCTTCAATAAAATTCGGTGCGTGTTCTAGCATTGTACTTTTTCAGAAACGACCCACGCTTGATTGCTGGCGTGTTCATCAAAGGTTAAAAATCGTACAACCCAATCTAGATGTATACGTAGTATGCAAAAGTAAGCGTTTCATGAGTTATCTCTTATCGGCTCATTAAATGGATAAAGTAAATAAATTTAATAGTGGAGACGGGCGATCATTCTTCGGCCAATTATTTTTTTAAGTTTAATTCAATGCCATGGAAAGGGCGCGGAATTAGTACCCACAGTGACCTTTTCAGAGGACAAGGTTGTCTACTATAAACACCTCCTCAGTTCTTGTCGACAATTACCCCTTTTCTTTATACATATTTCCTTCGTCTATAATTTGTTCCTCACGTCTGCCCTTGTCATTCCTAACAGAAAAAGGCCATGGCCAATAGTCACCTCACGCAGCGGAAGCCATGGATCGAGACTCCGTTGATAGAGTCTGCGACGCTTTCAAAGGCAGCAGGATGGTAGGTATAATTACTTTCTTTGTCTAGTACCATTCCATATACTATGGCTAAATTCTATGTAGTAGAGTTTTCCTGAAGTTGGAACTGCTTCAACCCTCAGGGTCCTTCAAGTCGAGGTAGATCATTCAAAACTCACACAAGAACCATCAAGAAGCACGAATGTAACTCATATCTATTACAGAGGTATCGGAAATCTGATTCGCAGCGCTCTCCTAGATCCTGCAAATAAAAACAAGGAGCTTCATTTCTACAGTTCGTCCGGAGGAAATGCAGGGCTAGCCGCTGTCATCGCAGCCCGAGACCTGGGCTGCCCCTGTACAGTCGTCGTACCACATAGCACCAAGCCTCTCATGATCAGCAAGCTACGCGCTGCCGGAGCCACAGATGTAATCCAGCATGGATCCAGCTGGTTTGAAGCCGACACTTATCTACGGCAAAACTTCATCGACAAGAATAGAGACGAGGAGGACGCCGATGCGGCCAAGAAACGGAACATCTACGTGCCCCCATTCGACCATCCAGATATCTGGAAAGGGGCAGGGACAATGGTTTCGGAACTTGCTACTCAATTACCACCCAGAGACACTCCTGCGGGCTACACTTTCCCCGCCGATGCGATTGTATGTAGCGTTGGTGGCGGGGGCCTCTTTAATGGGATTGTGGAAGGACTTGGTGATTATATGCGATCTTATCCGACGCCAGACTTGGTAACTGGTACAACATTGAAGAATGTCCGTGTGTTGGCAGCTGAGACGAATGGAGCGGATTCTCTCGCGCTCTCGCTGCGGAGTGGAAGTCTGGAATCTCTTCCGGCGATCACGTCCCTGGCGACTTCTTTGGGTGCGCTTTGTGTGGCCCCTCAAACTTTGAAGAATGCTCAGTCACCACCGGCCGGTGTTGACGTTGTCAGTGTTGTTGGGTCCGACGCTGAGGCTGCGAAGGGAATCATTCACTTGGCTGATGAGCTTCGGTTGCAGGTGGAGCTGGCATGCGGGATCAGTGTTGAGATAGCGGCAGGGTCGAGGTTGAGGGAAGCTGTTCCAGATCTTACTCCGGACAGTCGGGTGGTTGTGGTTGTTTGTGGAGGAAGCAATATTACCGCGGAGATGATTGCTGAGTATCGGCAGAGATTGCAGAATGGATGGGAGTAGACCTTATCTGATCTTCTCACTCGGTATATTGCGTAATACAAAATTGCAGTATGTACTGTTTTCAAGTTATGTGTATAGCAAGGTGAACTTTTCAGGTGTGCTTAACATTGTTTCCAGCATTGGGCTTGCATGTGTCACACTAAGTACTACTGCTATCGCGTGACTTGTCCTTCCTTTTTTTTGCTACAACTACCACCGATGTTATTTACATGCAAGAATTTACAACTAGGCCCAAGATCAAGACCTCTCAAGGATTATAGACTCTTTTGTTCTGCAATGCACTTGCCTTCAACAAGCTACCACTGCTTGTCCCATGTCCTCGGTGCGAGGCCTGAGACACTTCTTCATCTTTCTGGCTTCATGCAGAGATTCACTCTGGATGAAACCAAGGTCAAGCTTGTTGTGTTCTCGAAAACACAAGCTAGTGTTGGCAACAGATATATCGACGGTGTTTCCTCATAGCACTCCTCCTTGGCGGTATATTGTTGCTGAAGAGTCATTTCTGCGCTTGAAATTTTCAGTCTCTTATCGTCTATACTGTCTCTCATCACTCACTTTTGACACTATCTACGATATCTTCTTTGTCAATTCTCTCTTTCATTTCCCTTCCTCTGGTGTCTATACGCCACCTTAAGTCGAAACATGGATGATCAAACCATCAACCTAGCCCAGCTTCATTACATAGCTGAGCAGCAGGCTCGGCACTCATGTGTATGGGAGGGCCATGAACATTGTAAGTCTTCTGTCATAGTTTGTTATAGCTAGGGAGATATTCTAACACTATCTGTGCTAGCACACCAATACCCTAACTTCAAGGAGTCATGGGCGTTTGTAACACCGAGACTTCGCCAAGAGTACATCGAGCGAGTTGAGCTCCTTGCCTCATCACCTACGACGGCGGAAGCGGAGGCCGATTATGAAGGCAATTTAAAAATTCTCTATGAGAAATGTTTTGCAAGCATGACCCAACTTGAGACTGAGAAAGCTTCGTCCGTACCCAGTGAGTACCACATGTGCTTGGCAAATCCTCAGCGCTAATAGTTGCAAGTATCCATGTTCAGAGCCCAAGCCGGTCACCTCGGTATACAGGTCTTAGCCGAATCGTGCCAGGCCACTGAAGTTAGAGGTAGTAAAAACGGCGATGACGATGATGCCGCATGCTCTCAGGATGAGGATGTTGAAACGGCCGAAAGAATTATTTCTCCGAGCCATGACCCAAGAGAAAATGAGGACCCCATGATACCTGTCCTAGAATCTGCTGTCGACGCAGGAGTGCTGGCGTTAGAAAATCTACAGCGCGTCTTCGATAAATCTGATGTCTGGTTGGGCGACACTAACTGGAAAAACGACATTAAATTGGTACTTTCGTTTTCTCAGACGGAAAAAGTGATTATCGGGGTTGTTGGCAGCACTGGTGTCGGCAAGTCGTCTCTCATCAATGCCATCGCTGATGAAGAAAATATACTCGCAACAAACTGCATGCGTGCCTCCACTGCAGTGGCAACAGAGCTGTCATACAACGATGGAGAATTCGGGTACAAAGCACGCATTGAATTCATCCAACGCAGCGAGTGGGAACACGAACTACGCATCCTTTTTAAAGAGCTCTGCGACAGCTTGGTGGATGCCAAAAGAGAGAACGTTCCAAAGGATTCTAATGCTGGTGTTGCACTTGACAAGATTAAAGCTGTGTACCCTTCACTGGAAGTGGAAAACATTACGAACACATCGGTTGAAAAGCTCTTGGAAGATCCCAACGTTTTAAGTCTGCTTGGGAGTACCTTGATCTTTGAAGAGAACAACCCCCGAGTCTTCTCTCGGAGACTAAAGTCTTACATCGATAGTAAAGGCAAAAATCGCGGCTCGAAGAATGCTTCACAGAGGGGAAGCGATATAGGGCTCTGGCCGCTTATTCGCGTGGTTCGAATTTATGTCAAAGCAAAGGCACTGTCTACCGGCGCTGTCCTTGTCGACTTGCCCGGTATCTTTGACTCTAATGCTGCGCGTGTGGCTGTCGCAGAAGACTATATGAAACGTTGCTCAGCTCATTGGGTTGTCTCGCCTATTAATCGAGCCGTGGATGATAAAGTTGCTCATGACCTTCTAGGACAGAACTTCAAGATGCAGATGCACATGGACTGTGCTTTCAATAACATCACCTTTATATGCACCAAGACAGATGATATCTCTGTAAGTGAAGTACAGGACTCTCTAAGACTGGCGCTGCCGTCAGTGCAGAAGCGTGAATATCAAGATAAACTATGTGCTCAGCTACGAATCGAGGTGAATGAGCTTGAAAAGAGGAAAGACCGTGTTATGGATGATATTGGCTCTATTGCTGACGAGATCGAGGAGCTCGAGGCTAATCTGTCCAATGAAGAGTCCCATTTGAGCCAGTTCAATAATATACCCAACAAAGAAAAGATTCCCAGCGAGGTTGAGGGAAGCGAAGCGACCGGCTCTAATGAGAATAATAATGCAACAGCTCCTGTTGATAGCTCCGACACTGAAGTGCAAAAGTTGAGTTGCTCTGAAACTGAAGACCGGACGAGGCAGCTTCAGGCTCTTAAAGCCGAGAGGAAGCAACTTGAGCATCAGAGACGTCAACTCACTCAACATATCAAAAGTCAAAAAGCAGAATCCAAGCGGCTTGAACAAGAATCCGAAAATATGAAAATAGATATTATCCGAGAGTGCATCAACGCTAGGAATATCTACTCCAAGGATGAGATCAAAAAGGACTTTGCATGCGGCATCCGCGAGCTAGATCAGGAGCTTCAAGAGGATGAAGATGAGACAGCGATTTCTGGCACAGCTTTGCCAGTTAGAGACTATGAAAACCTGGCGAACGAACTTCCTGTGTTCTGCGTGTCCACAAAGGCATACCAAAAGCTTTGCGGTAGACTTCGGAAGGAAGTCCATCTGACTGGTTTTACAAAGCTGGAGGATACTGAAATACCCCAGTTACAGCGCCATTGCATAAGTTTGACCGAAAAGGCAAGGGAGGTATCGGCACTGCGATTTTTAGCTCAGTTGAAGAGACTGTTCCAGTCGATATCACTATGGTCGCTAGCGACTAGTCCGGCACATATAATGTCAGATGAGAAGATACGAGAATTGGAAACCGGATTCAACTTAGCCGTGGATAAGTTAAGAAAGGTATGCTTCCTATTCAGACAACCTGGAAAATTTACTCAGCCCATTAGGCTATGAAAAAGCATGTTTGCGAGCGCTCTGATGCACTTGTCGAAACATTTGAAGTGAACATCGTCAATCGACTTGGTATGTTACTCCATCAATGCACTTTGCCCCCATCTGACAGATGCGAATAACGTAGACCGAGCAATAAAACATGGCTGTGTGGAATTTCCTCGCATAATATCTCAATGGAATGCACCCCGGACCGAAGGAGGTCTTGCGTTTAATACGTACCAAGCCATTTGTCGTCGTCGAGGAGTATTCAAGGAGCGAGACTGGAACCAAGAACTGTATGTAAAGTGATGCCGTCTTTTTTGTTATTCTGGACCGTACTCACATTACAGCAGAGCCAATCCTTTGTTAGACAAGATTGTCGGCGGTTGGACAAGAACATTTTGTGTGAAAGTCCCTCTACAGCTCAATGAGTTTGCTGTCAGCTTGGAAGGCAGCCTACAGGAGTTTCACAGCACAGCAATTACCCTCGCGGATAGAAGTGCCCCCACCGACAAGAATACTGGGATGCCGGAAGTGATGCTAAGTACCTATTGTAAAACCCTAGGGCATGAGCTCAAGCAGGTGGAAGCATCAATAAAGTCCGAGCAAAAAGAATTGAATAGAATATTTGCCAAGACGATTGAGGCAGAGCTACACCAGGCGTATCAAGACTGTGCGGAACAATCTGGTAAGTTCTCAGTTTTTATTCTTTATGTTGGGGGGGGGGGGGGGGGGGGGGGGGGTTAAAAAAGGAAGGAGAATCAGGCGCCTTGACTTCGTTCCCTCTCCAAACTGGCGATACATTTCTTATAATTTTCTAACACATCTCAAATAGGCCGGTATTGCCTGGTCCGCATGAAAAACATAATGACTCGCCAGGCGGCAGACAATTGTTCCTATGTGCTTGGACACAGTGTCGAGCGAGCAGTACAGAAGATAAATGACCTGCTAAACGTGACACGCGAAAGACTAGGGCAGGTGGTAGAATCGACCGTGAACCATGTGTCGCGTGACTACCGCACAGCTATCGTCGAACCTCAGATCCGCAAGTTCTCTGATGACCAGATAAAGCTCAAGAATGAGGTAACCAAGATCATACAGAGCACAGAGGCAAGGATACATCTAAATCAACTTCTGGGGTTTAACAAAGAGTCGAATGGCCAGGAAGAATTATCTGTTGCACCTGAAGTCTTGGTGAAGAGCGAAGACGAAACAGGATTGATGTACAAGGAAGAGATGCCCATTAAGGTCGAGGACATATATGGTCAGCACACTGGACTTGATCTTCTGCAAACCGACCTATGAATGCCGGAGGCAGAGCGCGAGTCAAAATCGAAGGGGCTGACATCTATGCGACACGAGCTACAATGGCTATCTGTTACGGTGAGCATTTAACCTGATCTTTTCTGGGGTGGGGGAGATGGTGCAAGCAGCCGGGAGATTGAGACTTTTTATTTGAAGTCCTTTCGATACGAACTTTGGATGACCTGGTATTTCAAGTTTCAGGGACTTTTCGGACATCAAAGGTGGATGGTCCCGGAGACACGAAATGAGGTGCGCAATTGGCTGACGGTGCTGTTGTTTCTGAACCTTTCAGTGCAGAACTTATGATTTGATATCTCGGGTTCGTGGAGGATTCTTGGTTGTTGTCAGCAGCTTTTGGAGTTCATCTTCTCTGATATGAATAGGGTTTATTCTGGAAATACACCTTTCATTTAATCTTCTGCTGCATCAATCTTTTGATCGTAATCACTGGCTATATCCCTAGAAGAGTAAGACCATAAGCATCCAATTATACCCATAATTATCAAGAAAGATACACATCCTACGAAGCGAACCATATATAATAAATCATCAACATATCCATTGATCTCATCAGCTGCCCGATAATAGCCAAGCCACTGGTATTTCGCAAATAAATCCCAACATAAACATAGTTGTATCGCAGAGCACACGCAAATGAGTAAATAGTATCAATAGGTAGCAAGCATAAGACCCAAGAGTATATAACGCCAGAATGTAGCCACTAAGATGTTCGCTGTTCGTCTTCATCCATATTCAACACATCCCTGCTTACAAAAAGCAAGGGGTGATCTTTGGAAAGCAGAAGGAAGAAACGAAAATATAGGAGGAAAGGAAGGAAGAGAAAAGTCACAAATAAAACAAGCGTCCCATCTATGCTAGGTTGGGAATGAATAAAAAAAATGGTGTGAAACTGGAAAAGAAGATAAATGGTAAATAAACAAGCAAAGCAAAGAATCAAGTCTATCGCATCGTGCTTAACAGTCTGAAATCATGCAATGCACCGAGGGGGATATCGAAGACCGCGTATAGATGAGACGGCGTAAGATGGGTTGAGCGACGCAAGGTAAGAGAAAAGGCGGGAGAACGACGTCTTTCCCCTGATAAATGCAACCACAGACAAGACTTGTCAGTCATTCATTAAAGATTCCTTTTTTCGGTTTGTCCTTCTGTTTTCCTTTTCAAAATTTATATGTTCTGTTATCCCTGTCGTGTTGGATATGTGCAGTCCGTGGGGCTGCCGTGGATTAGAAGGGGAATCCGCCAGGGAATCCGCCGCGAGACTGGCCGCCACCGAAGGGGTTTCCGCCGGCTTGGGCGAATCCACCGCCGCCGCCGCCGTTCATCATGTTAAAGAGGATGTTGGGGTCGATGTTGATATGGGTGCCGCCCATGCCACCCATACCACCCATACCGCCCATTCCACCCATACCGCCCATGCCTCCCATGCCGCCGAAGCCGCCGAAGCCACCATGGCCACCGAACATGTCGGATGGGTCAATGAGGTCATCACCGTTATCATAAGACGCACGTTTCCTAAAATCTTTGTTAGATAGCCCGTATTGGAAAGGACCAAAGACAAGAGGGGCACATACTGAGAATCGATCAGGGTCTCATAAGCCTCTCCGATCTCCTTGAACTTCTCATCACCTTGGGGATCATCACGGTTCTTGTCCGGGTGGTACTGGATGGCCAGCTTGCGGTAGGCCTTCTTGATCTCATGCTCGGAAGCATCCTTAGACACGCCCAAGATCTTGTAGTAGTCCTTCCGCTGGGCCTTCTTGAGCTCAAATTCAGCCTTGCGAATCTCTTCCTGAATACCCTTTTCGGTGGGGTTGGACTCGGCCACGGCCTTGTAATCGCGCACTGCTTCTTCCCAGTTGCCAGCACCGCCGTGGGCCTTGGCACGTATCTTCTGTGCCTTGACATACGACGGATCCAACCGCAGGGCCTCAGAGCAGTCGTTGACTGCGTTATCGTATTCCTTCAGGTTGATGTGTGCCTGAGCACGATTCTGTAAGATCTTCGCGTTCATGTCCTTGTTCGTTGGGTCTACCTCCAAAGCCTGCGACCAGAGGTCGATAGCCTTGCGGTAGTCCTTGGCCTTGAAGGCATTGTTGCCCTCTTCCTTCGTGCGCATCAACTTCTGAACGGTACGAAGTAGTTTGATAGCCGACTTCATATCAGGATCCAAGCTGATACAGATTTTAAGGGTCTTCAGCGCCTGTTCCGTCTCCCCCAGACCGTAGAATGCACGGGCACGAATCATAAGAGCGTCAGGATCTTGGTTGTTCTGTCGAAGCATGTTCATCGCAATATCCTGTGCCTTAGCAAACGAATTCTCGTTTGCCATCTTCAGCTGTGCTTCCGCGGTCATCAGGGTCCACTTGCGGGGCTCCTTAACGCCATTGCCCAGAAGCGCTCTCGCCTGGTCCAGGCAGAACAGAGCCATCGACACTCCCCGTTCCTGAGCCAGGGTCTCTTCCGCTTGGGTCACGAAACGAATCATCTTCTCAGCGGGTGCACGGTCGGTCGCCGAGGCGGGAGGATCCGTGCGAGAGAGGACATTAAGGGCCTCTGACGGGCGGCCCAGACTAGTGAGGATACGGGCCAAGCGGTACTGAATCTTAGCGTTGGACGGATCGAGCTCGAGAGCTCGCTCACAGTCCTCGAGAGCATTAATATACTGATGGGCGGCCATGTGTGCCGCCGCCCGGTTGGACAGGTACACGGAAGAATTAGGGTTAATCTCAACGGCTAAAAGTTTGTCAGCAGAAGTAATCATGAGAATGTTGCAGCAGGAGCACCCACCTTTGCTGAACTCTTCAATAGCCCGAGCATAATTGCGATCCTTGAAGAATTTATTTCCCGCCAACTTGAATGAATCCGCCTCAGCGGTTGTTCCATTTGATCTATGAGGAGGAGGGGTAGGGCTCTTTTCGGCATGCGTTCCATTCACACCATTAGCGGACGACGACAAGCGAGGATCATTGCTGTCGACGTCCATCGAGCTCCGGTCAGCAGCAGCAGCCATGGCTGATAGACGACGTAGCTCGTCGGGAGGAAGATTTAACGGATGAAGATCGGGGTCGGGCTTCTTGAACCGATGAACGGTCGAAGCACGGGAGAAAGTAGGACGAGAAGCGGAAGGAGAGAAACTGCCCTTAGAGGTAGCAGAGGAATGTGTCGGACGATGACAGGATTTGGAGTGAGAAGGAATGGACGACGACCGACTGTGGGCCGGACGAGTCGAGGATTTGCGTGGAAGATTCGGCTGAGGAGGAGGAGGAGCAGTCGCCGCAGCAGTGGGTTCGTACGGTGGAGGTGGAGGGGGAGGAGGATTTTTCCGGGTACTATACGAGTGACGGGGAGAAGAAGAGGTTGAAGGCGACGACGGAGGAAATCTAGGAGGTGGCGGAGGAGGAGAAGAAGAAGAAGAGGAAGAAGAAGGGACCGGCGTCGGATTTGGAGTCAAAGTTGAGAGATCCGGATGCTGAATTTGCTTGGATTTGGATCTCTTGGATTTGTGACGAGAGAAAAGTTGCGGAAGAACCATCGTTCTGATTGGTCGTCGCGGATCGAATTGCAACGAAGGCGGTGGAAGTTCAGAGTTTGATATCAATTCTG